GGCGCAGGGGGAGGGAGGGAAGGAGGGAGGGAAGAGGGGGGAGAGGAGAAGGGTGTGCGTGCGGGGGGGCTGTTGCGGTCATTCAGGATCGATGCGGCTCCTGGAGCTGGCGGCGTGCCAGGCTGCTAAATTACAGGCGCTGTGGCAATAAGGAGTGACCTGGGTTTTTCAGATAATTAATTTATAAACATTGGAGGTGCACGGGCCCTGGCTGGGAGAATTCTCTAGGCTTTTTATGCGATCCGGTGGGGTTTGTTGTCTCACTATTTCATACGCGCTTGTGCAGCTCAAAATTGTACGTGGTTTTAATGTTTGTCCCCTCATTCAGGGGTGTGGGGATGAGGAAGGTGTGTGTGTGTGTGGTTAGAAATGTTCAGGTACCAATATCCTCCTTACTGCCAGCAAAAATAGCAGCTGTGTCAGCATTTCCACCCCGACTCGCAGTCCCACCATGGGGCTTCAGCCTTAACCATCACCAAAATATTTGATGAAGTGTTTGGTGGGGCTCAGGCTGGGCTGGGCACATCTTGGGGCACAAAGGAATGGGGATGGCTGGGATTTCCAGAACCAAAGGAGAACAGCACGGTGGTGGAAAGGAAGGCAAGGAGATGGGAAGTGCATCGTTCCCGGGGTCAGGCAGCACTCTTTTATTAACCCAGCGTTACGAATGGGTTGTGGGGAGAGGACTGATAGGCTGCTGGATGTGGAGCACTTTGAAATCTCAAGATGTGAGTTGATCCCGTGCAGGGTGTGTTCGTTAAGATAAATCTTCTCTCCCCCTCTCCCCAGCTGTGTTTTGGTTCCTCTGGCAGAGCCCTACGGTGGGTGTAGGAAGGAGGTTTCCTCTCTGTGTGCATCTGTGTGTGTCCTGGGTGTCATACCAAGGATGGCAGAGGTTTTGTCGTGGGATGTAACTCCTGTATGGGGTGTTTTCAAATAGGTACAGGAACTGAGGGACTCCTGATGCTTAACTGTGAGAGGGTAGCACTCTGGAAGAAGCCTCTCTCAGTGCAACTGGTAGGGGTGTCCATGTCGCTAGACCTTCTCCTAGCTCTGTCCAGCTGCCTTGTTCCCTGAGAAGGCCACAGCCTTGTGATGCTGTGCTGTGTCCCCTGCTTTTCCTTGGAGAGTGCTGGGGTCCCCATTACCGGGTGCTTGTGGTGTGTCTGGCTGTGCCTGTGTCGTCCATCCCGTGGCCCTGGCCTCGGTGACACCCACCCTGGAAAACCTGAATGTGTACAACCTGTCATGGCACAGTCCTGTGTGGTGGGCAGAGGGTTCTGCAGTGGTGACCTGGCAGTGTGGGTTTAACGAGGGGTGAGTTCCTTTCTGACCTGCAGCCGATGGTCTGATGGAGGTGTTGTGCCCCCCATCCTCAGCAGGTACAGACCTGTGGGGACCAGCCGTCACCCCCTGCCCTGCCGAGGGCCGCAGCATCCCCCAGCTCCGGGGGGAGGCCGGTTGGGGGGCTTCGGTGTGCTCAGGTTGGGAAAACAGCCCTTGGAGCACTGGTGGCAGGGCTGGGCGCCCCCCGGCCAGGGCAGCGGGGGAAGATGGGTGCCCCCCGGGGAAATGGTCCCCCAGCCCCTGCTTTTGGCAGCAAAGGGAGATGCTGGGGCAGGGAAGGCTTCGCAGCGGGAGTGGTTTTGGGGAGGTGGGGGGTCCCGGGTGCAGAGTGCTGCCCCCCGCAAGCCCCGCGCCCCCCGGGGGGTGCCCGGCGAGGGGCCGGCGGATGGCGGAGCCGCGGTCGGGGGAGCGGGGCGGCCGGAGGCTGGGGCTGCCCTCCCGGGAGCGGGTCGGGTCAGCTCCGCTCCAACCGGCGGGACCGGGGCAGGTGCTGGGGGGCAGGCGGGGGGCTCGGGATGAGCCTCCCTTCTCCTTTTTTCCTCCCCCCATCCATCCATCCTTCCTTCCCTCCCCTCCTTCCCTCCCTCTCTCCCTCCCTCCCTCCGACAGGAAGGCAATTAAACAG